TTCTTCCCATTTTCGTTGTAAGAAAGTTTCTAAAATCTACGGTAATTGATGAAATTGGAAAAAGTGATCTGTGATGTTTTAATGTTTTGATGGATAATGGGAACCATATGGTATTATATAAAATGGTTTTAAATACCCCCAAGAGTTGCTGAAAAAACTTAATATTTTAATGTCAGTACGCAATGTGAGCGTAGCCTTGTATTTGGTTGCAAAGCCTACAACAACCACAGGCATTGTCTGTTGTTGGCGAGCATAACTAGAAATATGCACACCCAGGTCATTTAGAAACACGCCCAAGATCTAAAATCCTAGCTAAGACCGTGGCGCAATGTGATTCAATGGGTTAACTAGACACATCCATGGAATTTAAGTTGATTCAGACGTGCATTATTGAGCTCCGTACTTTTTTTTAGTTCATATTTTGTATAATGAATAACTTGCTGACGACAACTGCGAACATTAAGCTATTGTATGATGGCGATAAATATCGATGGACTGGTTCCCTTATCGAGTTAAAGGAATTCGTTAATAAGTATCTACAAATTAAAGGGGAATGGACTTCACCTGGTGGTCATGTTAAACTATTTACCGCTGAGGCTTCTGATTTCGCTATTAAATGGTATGGCCCACGTTCACAGAAGCTTACGATTGAAGTTGATAGCTGTGATCACTATCTAGAGGCGAAACTTATGAACTTGTCTGTTGGTAAGCAAGTAAGTGAAGGCGAATTGCATGCAAACAAAGATGACGCTCTTAAATCATCGGGGCCGTGTAGCTGTAGTTGTAAATGCTCGGGCGGAGTTGCCGTAGCTAGCTTGGAAGGTTTGAAATTGGATATAGCAATCCTAGAATCACGTCTTAACTTGGCTAACCCGAGCGACGAGATACTTTCAGAACTAATTTTAATCCAAAATAAGCAACGGGATATTGAAGCCACTATCCGAAAACAAGATGAAATTATATGCAAACTTTACGAGGATAATACATTTTTTAAGTCGAAATTACAATCTTTTATAAATTTAATCCCAGCCGCATCTCATAACAATCAGGAAAACAATAATGGTGGTACAATTAGCTTTGCTAACAACGTTTGTAAATCACCCTCTATTGTAAACAACCAATTCCATGAGAACAAAGACTGCGCATCAGGCGATTCACTAATTCTTTTAGATGAACCGCAACTGAGTGATGTTGAGAACAAAGCCCTCAATCCCGCTAGCGTAATTAACAAAGAAGACGAACCTTCCACTCGTACTAGTAATCAGTATCACGAAAATAACGTCAGTGAGTCGGCTAATGTAATCAATTTATCTGTTGAGAAATCATCATCCCGCCGCCGAGAACAATTACATGAAATAGGAAAATTGACTACAAATAATAAAACGCCTAAGGAATTGTTCCAGCAAACTCGAAAAAGCTTGATCCCGTGCCCATATTTGTTTGGAAGGGGTTGGTGTGTAAAAGCAAGCAAATGCGATTATTCTCACCAAAACACTGGCAGAGAAAAAAATGAGTTGCTCAAAAGTGAAGTGCCGTGTCCGTTTTTGAAGAAAAGAGGTTTTTGTCTGAAAGGAACAAGTTGTGACTTTCTACATCCTGTAAAACCCCAACCGTCAGCACGACCAAGAAATATGTCCCGATATGTCCCCAACTACCCACCCGTTCCCCTTTGTCAACCAAGCATTGGACAAGACGTAAGGTTTCCTTTTTTATGTCCTGCCCCCAGGTTTGTGAACCCCTCCTTCCCCCCCTCATTAATGAATGTCCCTACCTGGCCTCCCCGGATGTATTGAATAGTACAGATCAATCGAACTATACACATGAGATTAAAGGACATAACCCCGCTAACTGCATTTCTATAGACCTTTCGACCAATAAACCTAAGGGGTCCGGGACAGTATATGTCCCCTCGTTTCTACTATCAAATGTGATGTCACTGTCTCCAAAAATAGACGAAGTACGTGAAGTAATACGCTGTGGTAATTATGAATTTGTCAGTCTGGTAGAGACTTGGCTACAGAGTCACATTCACGATAATATTATCAATATACAAGGATATAACCTAATTCGTAGAGACAGGGTCGAAGGCACCCATGGTGGTGTTTGTGTTTATATTAAAGATTCCATAGCTTTTACAGTGCTTGATGAACTCTATAACAGCTCATTTGAAATACTGTGGATCAGCATCCGACCTAATAGACTACCCAGAGGAATTACTAACCTGATAATTGGCACAGTATACCACCCTCCCAGCGCAGACAATTCAGACATGTTGGACTATCTTTCAAATTGTTTGTCGCGTGTAGAGTCGCGTTTTCCCAACTGTGGCCTTATTATCCTTGGCGACTTTAATAAGTTAAACGTGTCGAGACTAAGATCGTGTTATAATCTGAAACAACTCGTAAACTTCCCCACACGTGGGAATAATACGCTCGATATAGTCCTAACAAACCTTAGCACTTACTACGACAAACCTACCAAATGTGCCCCGTTCGGGTTATCCGATCACGTGACCATTGAGATTAGACCAATTAAACGATCAAAAGTTCAAGGAACATCAACAGCATCAGTAAAGGTGAGAGACTTGAGACCTAGTTCCCGCCTTGCTGTAAGGAAATATATAGAGATGGTAGACATTCCCACCTTGCTTAACACAGGCCACTCTTGTGAAGAAAAAACATCTTTATTCCAAACAATAATTAATAATGGGTTGGATTCAATTATTCCGCTACGTAATAAAACTGTTAGATTAAATGAACCTCCATGGATGAACACAACTTTGAAAGGTCTTATAAGGAAACGACAAAAAGCCCTTAATCAGAAAAGAACTACAGAATTTAAAAGGCTGAGGAATCAAATCAACCGCCAAAGAAAAAAATGTCGGGCAAAATATTACGAAAATAGCGTTCACCATTTAAAACAATGTAAACCATCAGCATGGTGGAAAGAGGTTAAAAAGCTTAGTGGAATGAATGTAATCGGGGGAACCTCAGATGAAATTGTGAAAGCTTTGAGACCAGGAGATGACCCTTCTAGCTCTGATAAAAGAGATTTAGCCAACGAGATTAATAATGCCTTTTTGGCTCCTATGGCTAGATATGTGCCGTTATCCTCAGTACCTCGTCAACATCTCATCCAACCTGCACAAAGTGATACAGTAATTACTGTAACATCGAATGCTGTTTTCGAAAACCTTCTCAAACTTAATCCCAAAAAAGCTCATGGTCCGGATGGCATACCGTCGTGGTTCCTAAAAGAAAACGCAGATCTATTAGCTGGTCCGATAGCGGCCATCTTGAACTGTTCATATCGGGAATGTACCCTACCGCCAGTTTGGAAGAAGGCGGACGTAGTTCCAATACCGAAAGAAAAGCCCATCCAGGATATCAATCGTCAGTTACGCCCTATTTCACTTACACCTATTCTATCGAAACTCGCAGAAGAATTTGTTGTAATGATTTATGTGAAGCCAGCAGTGATGGAATTGATCGATAGTAAACAATTTGGGACGGTGCCGGATAGTTCTACGACATATGCTCTTATAAGCATGCTACACACTTGGAATAAGGATACGGATGGTAACGGTTCAACAACTCGAGTTATGACGTTTGACTTCCGTAAAGCATTTGATTTAATAGACCACAATATTTTATCGGAGAAGTTAACAAAGTATAACATACCGAGGTCTGTCATGCTTTGGATCTTAGACTTTCTGACTGACCGAGAACAGAGGGTAAAACTCAGCCAAGATTGCCATTCCGAATGGGGCAAGGTCCCAGCCGGCGTTCCCCAAGGCACAAAGCTCGGCCCATGGTTATTTTGTATTATGATTAATGATCTAAGCGTTAAGGACGTTAATGATTTATGGAAATATGTTGACGACTCATCCTTGTCGGAATCAGTTTGTAGAGATGGTCCAATAAACTTACAAAAGTACGTAGATGAATTTAACCAGAAATCAACAGCTAACGGTTTTCAGATAAACGAATCAAAATGCAAAGAGTTGGGTATAAGCTTTGCACCAAGCATACGTGAGTTCCAGCCAATTACTATTAATGGGAAAATTATCGAACGTGTAACATCGGTAAAATTGCTGGGTCTAACCATCTCAAATAACTTGAAGTGGAATAGTCATATTTCACACGTTTGTAAAAAGGTCGCACCTCGTCTATATTTTTTAAGACAACTAAAACGAGCGAAATTACCAGCTAACGACCTAATCCTTTTCTACTCCATCTGTATTCGACCAGTCATCGAGTATGCGTGCCAAGCATTTCACGACTCATTACCCAAATATCTGTCTGATGATCTTGAAAGACTTCAGAAACGAGCATTTCGAATAATATTCCCAGATCAACACTACAAAGAAGCATTGAGGAACACGAACATCCCATCACTGTACGATAGAAGACAGGAATTACCAACAAAACTTTTTAAGGACGTAGTCAATAATTCTGAGCACAAATTAACGGATTTGTTACCGCCATTAAATAATGACAATAGTCATTTTTTGCGTAAAAATAGGAAATTTAACGTGCCACTTCATAAAACGAACAGATTTAGGAACAGTTTTATCACTTATAACTCTAATAAGTTTTTTGAATAACTTAGAAACTGTTTTTACCGCGAATATGCTGGTTTTTAACCTAATCTAAATTAGCATTAGTGAGTGTTTTAGTAACAAATTATAAGTCTGCGCATACAGTATATATACGTGAATGTGTATTTTTAAGTATTTAGTCTAATCTTATTCGTTTTCTTAAACAAATACATGTAAAATTAGTTTTAATATCCTTGTAAACCTAACATATTTCAGCAGTGGAATTAGTTATATTCTGGAGCTGTAAGTTTTAGTGTCAAATAAACTTTCAAACTAGAACCTACGTCAATCAAAATATACCCATACAACTCTACAGTTCCTCTACCCATTACCGGCAAGTTTGAAGTTCAATTTTGTAATGGTACAAAAACTACATCTGCAACATTTCATGTTGTTGAAGGAAATTCTGGGTCATTGTTGGGATATGAGACAGCAACAGAACTGGGACTTTTGCTTGTTAATGTCAACCAAACAACAACCATGCCTAGTTCTACATCAAGCAACACGTCTGATCTGGTCGCAAAGTTTCGGCACCTATTTACTGGCATTGGTAAACTGAAAGATTATAAACAAAAGCTACATCTTGACCCCAGTATACAACCGGTTGCCCAAAAACCTCGCCGAGTACCATTTCACTTACGTAAGCAAGTATTTGCCCGAATTGAAGAATTGGAAGCACTCGATATCATAGAACGTGCATCAGGTCCAACATCGTGGGTATCGCCTGTGGTTGCAACACCTAAACCCCACAACCCATCTGAAGTTAGAGTATGTGGTGATTATCGACAACCCAACCGAGCCATAATTCGAGAACGGCACCCTATTTCAACCGTGGAAGAGCTCTTGGAGGACATGACTGGTGCTTGTGTCTTTTCAAAATTAGTTCTTCGCGCTAGCTACCATCAAATTGAATTGGAAGAAGAATCGAGATCTGTTACCACCTTTTGCACACATGAAGGCTTATATTGATATAAGCGACTACCCTTCGGCATCTCCTCTGCGTCTGAAGTTTTTCAGAATGTCTTGCAACAGTCACTTCAAGGTCTTCATGGCGTTCGTAACATAGCGGATGACCTCATAGTTTGGGGAAAATCCCACGAAGAACATGATCGCAATCTTGAAGCTTTGTTCCAGCGCCTAGATGCCAAGGGCCTCACATTGAATGGTGATAAATGTGAATACAACCAACCAAGTTTATGGTTTTATGGTTACAGTTTGTCCAAAGATGGTCTATCTGCTGATCCCAAGAAAGTTGAGGCCATAGTCAAAACGACAACTCCACAGAATGTTGCTCAGCTCTGAAGTTTCCTTGGTCTAGCTAACCACTGCGCTCGTTTTATCAAGGATTTTGCCACTCTTTCAGCACCTCTGAACGAACTGACCAAGAAGTCAACAAAATGGCAATGGACTGTCATCCACCAACAAGCATTTGAGAAAATTAAGACTGCAATTGCAGAGGATTGCAGCATGGCTTTCTATGATCCTGCCAAAGAAACAACCCTGACTGTTGATGCAAGTCCTGTCGGTCTTGGGGCCATACTGTCTCAGATACAAGAGGATGGTACCATACGCAACATTTCATATGCAAGTCGCACCCTTACCCCCACTGAACGCCGCTACTCGCAGACAGAAAAAGAAGCCCTTGCAGTGGTATGGGGCTGTGAACGCTTCCATTTGTATCTTGTAGGTAAAGAATTTACCCTCTACACTGACCATAAGCCACTTGAACTGATTTATAGCCCTAAATCCAAACCACCACCACGCATTGAGAGATGACTTCTCCGAATGCAGCAGTACCTGTACCAAGTGCAATACCGACCAGGATCGTCAAACCCTGGTGATGTGTTGTCCCGTCAACCAACAGAAACCTGTGAATGGTCTCCTAACACTGCGGACAAGTATATCAACTTTATTGAGAGCCATGCTGTCCCCAAATCAATGGCTCTAGAGGAGATTGCTGCTGAGACAAGTACTGATTCTGAGTTACAAGCTGTGATCAAAGCAGTGCAGACAGGACACTGGTATGAAAAAAATGATCCAAACTGCAGGTATGTTACAGCTTATCATAAATTAAAGGATGAACTGTCTATTACTAACAATGGTATACTTTTACATACGTGACACTCGAATTATTATTCCAAAGTCTCTTCAGAGTAGAACTTTGGCCATTGCTCATGAAGGGCACCAAGGTATAGCAAAAACTAAAGCACTATTACGCCTACGCCGTTAATCATGACTGATATACCATCCAAACCATGGAGCGTAGTATACGCTGATTTTTGTGGTCCATTTCCCACAGGAGAAACTGTTCTAGTCGTTATTGACGGTTACTCTCGCTATGTGGAGGTAGAAATAATGAAACGTACGACCACTACAGCAGTTGTTTCGCGTCTCAAAAAAAAATATTCGCCAGACACGGTTACCCAGATGAATTGACAAGCGACAATGGGCCCCCATTTAACGCTGCAGATTTTGATGCTTTTCTAAATCAAAATGGTGTTCGCCACAGGAAAATCACCCCTTACTGGCCGCAAGCTAGATCAAGCTAATGCCGAAGCGGAGCGTTTCATGCGCACATTAGAAAAAGCTGCACGAGCCGCCCATATCGAAGGAAGAAGATGGCAAGATGAGTTAGATACTTTTCTTTTGAATTACAGGTCAACGCCGCATTGCACAACTGGTATCAGCCCGGCAGAGCTTCCATTCAATCGAAAAATTCGGAATAAACTGCCAAGTGTGGACCGGTTAGACCCCATGCCCTCAGATATCGAAGACAGCCATGAAAAAGCTATCAACAACGACTCTAAGAGAAACGAGAAGATGAAGAAATATGCGGACAAACGGAATCATGCAAAGAACATTAATCTTCAAATAGGAGATTATGTCTTAGTCCGACAGCAAAAGAAAAATAATCTACCCCATTTGGTAAAACGTCATACAGAGTAACAGAAATAAAAGGGACAATGATCACTGCGACTAACGAAGATAGCGGCAACATTACCAGAAATGTTTCAGTGTTTAAACAAATCCCAAACCCAAACCTTGAACCACAAGATCAAATTATCGAGGATTTTCATGGTGATATGCCTAACACGGAATTGACGCGCAGATATCCAACTCGGAACAGAAGAAGTCCAGAATTTTATAATAGTTCACAGACATAGTATGAACCTATACAAACTTGAAGTTTTAGTTGTCGAGTTGTTAATTATGAATGTTTTATTCTAAAAGGAAAGGAGGGATATAGTATTGTGACGTACAGGTCACATGATCTAGTCACGGGACAGTGAACACACGTACTGTTGTATCGAGCAAGGAAAGCGAGGACGGATCTAGGACATTCACATTAATCATTTAAATATATTATTTTATTACAAACCGACTTCATTATAGTAAGGTCGTGTATTTTGAAAAGATTTATATAAACTAACCATCGCGTAGACACAAGCCTAGTTCAAATCAGATCCTAAAGTTTTTGTAAGTTAATTATGTAAAAAGATAATTAGACAAAATTCAGTACATATACAAAGTCGCCAGCTGTGATAAAAAAATATTAGTTTACCTGCGCAGTTTTTAAGATGATCTTCCATAACAGGATCAACCGTTGCCATATGCTCAATAAATTCTTTAAATACGCCGTTGTTTAGTGAACATTCGCCTTCCGGATGGCCTCTGAAGGGTAAATTAAGTCTCCCCAGCAATCGAACAACACCCAGAATTTTTCCAATTATAGTCCGATTTTTCTTAACCTAAAAATACAAAGCAACATTAGAAAGGAATGACATGTACAGATTCAGAGGAATTCGAATGTTCGTTTGATTCAATATACAATACAGCAAGGCAAAAAGAACATTGACTTGAAAAACATACTTTTAGCTGACGGTAAGACTCTTCTCTCTGCATCTTCGCTAAGTTGGTGATCTACCGGTTTGTGGCTTTTCCAAATGCGAAACGACTTGAGAGAGTTCTTGTGGCACTCGGAACTTTCGTCTTTCTTAAAAGCCTCACTTTTCTTCCAGTTATTAAATCCAGTTTTGATGAATGCGCCCCCCCCCCCCTTTGAACGAGACCTACAAATAAATAAATGATATAATAGTTTTAGAGGTTGTATAATATACAAAATAATTATCTCTTTATCATTGACTCTAACGATCAGTTGTTTCAAATGTAAATATCGCCAGACGTGTTTACTCTATATATACGATGTGTTATATACCTGTCCGTTGAAAACTCGGCAGTAGAAACAAAAGCTATATCAGATGACTTTGAATACTCATCCACGATGAGAGAAATTTTCGATTAAATCTGTCTTTTGGATAATCTACGTCGGTTGGCTGGCATGGTCCTTTTTTTATAACGTGGTCTCTGGCTGCTCTTCCAGTGGGCAAGGGAAACAAGGATCAAATTCGTAGGTTGAAAGATCTTCTGGTGGCGCGTTAGCCATTAAAAGTCAGTCAACCCGAATTTACAACTTTGTATTTGTGTTGATACTTGCTTGCGTAACTTCTTTGTCAAATAACACAGCACTCTCACTTATATACTTTGACGAATATTTAGACTACATTTATATAAAAGGGGCAGTCTGGGTTGGGCATGCTAGAATATACAGTATGATGAATATTCTGCGTAGATAGACATTTCGCTTTTTAGTACATGCCAATACAATATTTTACAGTTTATCAATGAAATTGCCATAACTGCATATTAAAGTGAGAAATACCAATAGTTTGATAAAAGCTTGGAATGACTGATTTTACAAAACGTCTCGGAAACAATACGAACTGACATTACTGACTACAGATTACGCTGTCACCGAGTACAGAAATTTCTGCTATTAAAAATATTATACTTCACCGCAAACACTCGATAGTTTATACACAGACATTTATAGTTCACTAGCTGGCTCTCGTCGGCTTGGCTGGCATGTTACCTCTGGAGCAAAATTTCAATCTTACTTTATTATTTACTATTTATTGGGCCATGTAAACCTTGCTCTATCGCGATATAATAATACAAGAGTAACTGAGCTCGCTGGTATAGACTGCGAGCGGTCTCTCCTTTCCGTGGGTTATATCGCGATATAATAATACAAGAATAAGCTCGCTGATATAATTCAGCTGCTGACTTATAATTTTATATCAAAACTATCCACTGGCATCTATTCATGTATACATCGCTCCGTATCTTTGATAGATAAAGCACTGTGCTATAATACTATCAACCTCAGTTGTAATACACTCTAGTCTACACGATTTCACACCGCCGCTCAAAAGTCACCGCTCGTCCATGTCCGCCATTCTAAAATGATAATATATATTCTATGATATGAGAGCACGTGTATTATGGACGTATAATTACTGACGGTCACAATAACCTATTGTTTTCTCTCTGCATTATATCAGCGAATGTCGAGAAGTTTTAGCGTTCTTCTGAAAAACGGGAGCGGTCTTTTTTGATTGTAGGGAAATTCCCAGGGGTAAATGTTTATACGGGCTAAAATAGCACACAGCATTATTAAAAATAATGCAGCGTGCACACAGCATTATTAAAAATAATACATATTTTCTTTCCTGTGTCGAAAGAATAATCATGCATTGCAGTTTTAAAACAGCAAGTTCATTCACTCTTTATTGCCTGATACCGTAAAATTTTTCTTTGTCTGGCGTTTGCCGTTTGACGTATAACGCGAAGCTTAAACTCTCTATTATTTGTTCATTTACCCTGGACCTACCTGTGCTTGATATTTCAAGTCTTTTCTTATTTTTCCCGTCGTAAAATTCCAGACCTCGATAAAACCGTCGACACTACCAGTCACCAAGTACTGTCCATCGGGCGAGAACAAACCACATTCTGGATGGGATTTCGAACCAAACTAGGACATTTATGTATAGAGAAATATTCTATAAATGTTCACAAGATCAGTGGTGTACTGTACCCAAATGAGTGGGGGGTCCTTTCCGGAAGGGTGTATTATTGCACCCTGTCCATAACCTTACAAAACAAAAATACGGCATACACAATAAAAACAAATTGGTTAAAATGTCCAATTCAGTATTGGTCATTCCGACCAATACATAATTGGTTGCATCTTCAAATGGTAAATTTAATTTCTTTTGGTCACTCAATGTTGAATGACCCAAAATAACCAATAAAAATCGGTCATATCTGTAACCAATTTAACATTGGTCATATGCATAATCAATTTTAAATTTGTCAAATCTATAATTACCTTGACAGTTTTATTGAGATGTGTTGGATATTTTTCCTCTTCCTCGTCGCGTACAGCTGCCTTGCCTCGGAACATATCAATGGAAGTACCAGGAGGTAGTAGTCCTTGATACTGTTGCCATTTCAATGCCTGACCAAGCGGAGCTAGCAAGCGAGATGGTGGAACCACCGACACCTCACCGGATAAAGCTGGGAAGTAAAGGAAACCGATTTATCTGTGGTTACTGATATTTGTTAACAGGAATTTCCAACACTCAAAATTGGGGCAAAATGCTAGCAAAATATTACTAACAAAAGTTAACAGGCCAGTAACAGAAATGTCGGGGTCTCTGTAAAGAACGGAAACCGAAACGACCGAATCCGGAAACGACCGAAACCGGAAACGACCGAAACTGGAAATTCCCGCCCAATTTCCTGCATTGCCTAAAATTCAGCCTGCTAGCAGGCTTACTGGTAGAAATGTGAGCCTGCACTGAACCATGCGTTTTATTCATTCTTCCCTTATAATAAAGACTGTCAACTATCAAATTGACGCAGGGCGTGAAATGTAGGACGAAATGTATAAAAGAAGTGTGTAAACTCCAAAGATCGATAACATTTTTATATTTACCAACGTTTCGACAATATTTCAATCATCAGCAGGATAAAGAAATGTATATAACAATACGAAGCATTACCAAGCCGCACAATATATTAAATATAGGCTGCAGGTAATACATTACTAGTTAATCAATACACATACAAATTAAAAGTCAAATAAAATACTACCATTGAATGCAATAATACTTGTACTGCTTGTGATTGAAAGAACAATGTTCTGAATATTTGAAGCTATTAAAATGCAGTCAGATAAATGAGGATGTATTCAGTAATATTTTCAAAATCAAGAGCGTGCCATTTTAGTGGAAGCTGTATCGTATGTCAAATGAGAAAGTGAATGCAATATCGTTTTTATTAAATTAAACAAAACCGGCATGAACCGGCATTGTTCAGAAAGTTAATAATATGCAGTAAGATTATTAAATAATTTACAAAATTGTCAGCAGTTAAATAGTATACAACCTTACTTTTGGACGATATTTATCTAAATGCCAGCGATCGAGCGTCAACAATATAATTATTCGTTATGCGGGAAATTTAGGCGGGAATTTCCGGTTTCGGTCGTTTCCGCTTTCGGTCATTTCCGGATTCGGTCGTTTCGGTTTCCGTTCTTTACAGAGACCCGAAATGTCGTTACGATAGTCGAGGAAGAGATTGACTCAACTAACAGCGGTAATCAATTTATTTCGGAAAAGTATCCTGGTAAATGACTAACAGCGTAAGTAGATCTGACAGTTCCTTTATGAAAGAGAATCTGTTTGACAAACCCACATAGTTTTTCTTGACACAGAAGAGTAAATATCACAAGTAAAAGCCAGAATTATATTTATTGGACGGCCGGTACATGGTAATATTTATCAATGTGATTAGCCGATAACCGATCTGCCTGAAAGTTGCAGATTATCGGTTTCTACGGATTAATTTCCTAGTAACTTTCTAAGGCAATACCTTGGGCAATTGCGGCTCTTCTTCGTTCTTTACTACTTCCCTTAGGGTATGCCTGCGAGAAAAACAGCACAACTTAAATGAACTAAATCTTTACATTTCCAGTTCCTTGACAATGGCCTTGCAGCGAACTGTGGTAGTCACATTCACCTATCCGTAGCTATAAATTCCACAATAACATTCATGGCCACTCACCTCCCTTGGATCAAAATAAGATCTTGCCAGTAAGTTTTCCAAATGTAGGTATCTATCAGGTTGTTGCGACTTTAACATAATCATTGGATCTGTCTGACGAAGTAATGATCTGGCAGCACCAAGTTCACGAAGCTCAATTAATTCAAGCACAATCTGAATGAAGCATACAACATTAGCCTGTCAAGTGTCGTTCTTTCATGGTTGGAAAAACAAAATGTACTCAATAATAGATGAAATATCTAATTTCCTTCTGCCCTCTTATTTGGGAGAGAAATTAATTTCCATTCAGTTAAATAAGTTCAGGTATTAAATACATTCATTTGGTTCAAGGAAAAGAAAACAGAAAAAATATTTTTGTATCTACATGTCTTCACAGACATCTGCCTTCTGTTCAACTAATCAAGCATGTGCACAAATACCGTAAATCTCCGACTATGAGCCCTGGGCGATTTTTGATGGCCTTCTGCAAGGACGGGGGCTTATAAATGGGGGGGGGGGCTAATACATGGACAATCTTTTGTGTTAATAAACAAGTCGGTCATAAACAGGAAAATAAACATGTATTAATAACACGCATTGATTAACATAGTAAGCTATAAAGACAATGACAATGTTTTTAAATATTGTTCTCTGCTATATTTAAAGACACTGTCAATGTTGAATAACGTAGTGGGCCACTGCATGGCCAGTGGCGTTCCTGGGCCATTTCTAGTGGGGGGGTGTAGCATCCCATTTTTACCGACGAAAAGGGCGTTTCCCTTTCCAATTGTCGAACATTACAATACAAATTTTTATAGGATAAAAGTTGTAATTTGAGTATACATATTTGGTAATTTTCAAGTATGGTACCTATTGCACATATCATATACCTTAGGAATTAATTAATAATGATTTTAGCAAAACTAGATTTTTATCATTCTTGATTTATATAAAGACCACGAGTTAGCTACTTTATCCAACTCAAGTTCGTCTAATATATCTACAGATGAAGATAAAATCATCAAGTCGTCAAGACGGTTTTCTTTCATCGTTGATCGCAAATAGCTTTTAACAAGTTTTAGTTTACTAAATGAACGCTCATTACTTGCGACAGAAACTGGAATTGTTAATGCAAGCTGGTACGCTTTCGTCAGGTTGGGATAAAACTGTTGTTTTCCAAGTACACACTTCGCTGCTTCCTTCAGATTTTTGGCACCACTTTTCTCGATATCGGAAGATATTAACTTAATCTCTGCACACATAGCGTCTGGATCTTTGAAGTCCTGTGGAAATGCTGCGCATAAATTTTCCACTTCTTGCTTGGAACAATTGGGTAAATTTGCTGGAAGCAAAATAATTATAGGTAGCACAATATCAGATAAATATTCATCAATTTCGTTTATGTCCGATACAAGACGATCTAATACCTTAAACATTTCTTTCCGATAGTGTTGGCTAAAGCTAGGCACAGTAGCAGTGGCAAAATTTTCGTCGAAACGGGCAGGTGCT